CCATTTTTATTACAGTTTTTTTTAAATGTCAATATAGCTGTTATTAGTAATGCTTATTTCAGTTTAAGTTATTTCAGAACATCAAGTTAAATTAGATAAAAATGAGAAATGTCGCCTTGGCATCTAGATGAAAAAAAGCTGAAATTATCATCAAGTTATTATTAATAACACACACAGTGCCCTCCACCTCTTTCATTTACAAACATATGTTACATGGTGAAACTGAGTCGGTTTGTTCAAATTCAAACGGTGTCTCTTTAGAATTAACTCCGGTTTTAGCAATCAATAGCCATGCTTTCTAATCAGAAGGTTATTGCCATTTGATCTACACAAGGAGCAAGTCGTGATCATCATCCCATTGAACAAGGCACTTGATGCCAGGTTGACCTGTAAGAAGAGTACAATAGGATAATATGCTACTTACATAATGATTATGGTGTTTTGCCCTCAATTAAATCAACAGCAATAAGGTCATGAGTTCATGAAGTCTTTGAGAACATTTTAATTACTTAACATCAGGAACATGATGTTTCAGATCATTTGACATTAGGATTGCTTATATTAGCTTATTACACGTGATCTCAACATATTTTAGATCTGAAGAGGTAGCATCTTTAAATTTCACTACAAGAGTCATTTCACTACAAATACATGAGTATTTTTAGTAGTTTGTAACATGCTGGTTTACATCATAAAATAGATTCCAGCTGTAACTGTTATCGATGTTGGCAAGCAGGTTCAACAGGATTTCGAAAGTCTTAAAGAATAACAAGCTCTCTTTTTATTTTGATCTTATCATGATGTCACTCTGCGTTCCCAAGGAAGGAGTATGAGCGAACAAGCAGCAACAAGAATTGCTGAGATGGAAATCTTGTATATCACTAATTGTCCTTAAAAGCTTGAACCTGAAATTTGGTTTGGGAACTCTGAGTCTCAGGTTATCTCTGATTTGGGGAAATCAACAGTTAAAAATCTTGAGGTTCAGTTTGATGTCTCTCTGAAATTTGATAAGCAGGGCAACTCGGTGGTTAAATCTTGTTTCTTTCATTTGAGATTAATAGCTAAGGTAAAACTGTTTCTGTCATCTAGCAATTTTGAAAAGCTTACTCATGATTTTATTTTTGTAAG